CCCGAAAAAGTCAAAAAAATTTTTCGCTCAAAACTTGCTCCTAGGGGTAATCGACAGTCCTGATCACGATTCTAGACTTTATTTTCGGTTCCAGTGCCATCTGGCACCGGCATAGCGCCGAAGAGCTGAGTCTGTGCATACTAACGAATTCGAACGAAAAAGCAGTTTTGCTCCATAAAAGTAGGATTGTTCAGTTTATCGTGAATGTTTTTGTTAGGACCAATTATTTAGACAAACATGGATCCAAAAAATGAAAAATTGTAGAAAAGCAAAATTTTGTCCTCGGTGGGATCCGAACCATCGACCTATTTTTTACGTTTTTTTTTATTCGTAGAAGCGCGCAGCGAAAATGAACCTCAGTTTTCTGGTCCTCGTATGTGCCCCTACAATATGCACAAGACCATTTTGAAAAAGCTCACCACGCCCTGAACGACCTCCCTTGTAAGAGCGGCGTTTTGGAAGAATTCGTCGAAAGGAGTGGATGGGTATTGATCGGCGTCGGCCGCCAACGCTTTCAGAGAATAGCGGAATGCACGTCAAGGCAAGTACACTTGTCGACAGGATAGGGAGAACATAGTCAATCGATTCCCATCTAATTCTTCGCCCTGCGTTCTCCTAAACGTCCCCGATTCTTTTATTCTCTGAAGACGCTGTCGGTTTATACTTCGAGACAGGGAATAGCAAGAGTAGATAAGAAGTGAATTAAAACGCGCGAAACGAGTACATAATAATCGAGCTGTTCGTATTTTCCGATATTCGATAACAATACTTCAGGTGTTTATGGTTAGTTCCGAGCCGCGGGGTTACGTGACAACCATAACTTTTTGCAAGGATCCTGGCGCGAAAGGGTTACGTGACATCCTGAACTTTTGTGCGTGGTCCTGTTGCGAAAGCATATAATGCAGACAAATAGAGGACAGCAGGACAGAGGCTGCTAAAGCATCGAAACACGCAGCGAGTCAAGAAATGGCTGTGTCAGGAGAGGGGATCTCGGTGTGGGTGAACCACATATAATCCGTGGAAAAGCTGGAATGTGCGAAGTCACAACTACAGAGTACCTGCGGAAGAGACAGTGCAGAGAAAAACAGAAGATCGACGCCCTTAAAGGGATTGAGTTCAAGCTGTCCGTAGACCGCGCAAAAGACCTGCGTAGAGAACCAAGGGATTGTATGTGACAAGAGAATCGTAATTCACCGCGCTGGTGGGCGTCGCGTGCGACGTCGCGCCCGCAAATGACGATGGTTCCAGGTAGTAGATGGCGACAACAGGCAATTCAGAACCGAAAATAGTCATGAATGTCTACGATGACGGGGTCTACATGAAGTCCGGTGCTCCAATCGACAGGTTAACACGAGTTAAGAAAACGCCGCGCGCGGCGGAGCGGCAAATTACGATTCTCTTACCCGTCTCCCGAGGATTGTGGATGCAAGGGCATCTAAAGGTGCAAAAAACATATTGCAAGCCAGGGGCATGAGCTTTTTCAGGAGAGTGGGCCCTGAAATGAATGCGTTTCCTAAGATGCATGAAAACCTGGTATTATCATGCAGACGTGGGAGTCTAGAGCTGAGTCCGTAGATCAAGCCGCAGTTTCGCACGGTAACCTAAAATCGCCGATTGGCGGGCGCGACGTCGCACGCGACGCCACTTGTGCGACGAATTCACGATTATCCTGCCACTTACTCCCTTCCCTAGCTAGTTGACGTAAAAGACGTAGAGAGACGCGACATGACACTGCCACGTTGAGTGGATAGGTCTAGCTGCATGCCGCATGTCATACCGCTTACCATGCCTCTTTCTCCGTGCTCATTGCGACTTGGAACTGACAATATACATCCTGCTTATACTCGTGGGGTGCGCATTTTCCTTTTGTCCCATCCTCCAGATCTATGAGCGCGGACCAACGGGTAACCTGGGATGTAGGTCAGAAAATCCGAAGAGCAACGTTGAATCATGTGGTCCGTGATGCGAATCCCGCGCACCGCACACTGCGCACTTAGTTGGCCCGCTTTGCGCGAAGTTTTGCCCTGTTTTGCATCGGTATATGCAGAATACACTGCGAGAAACCATTTTGAACTAAGGCCGCGTTCATACCTCGCGACAGTGTCGGCGATGTTGACGTAACGGACGTTTCCGACGTAGCCGACGTTTTCGGCGACTAGTTCGCGAAGTTGCAATACCTACATATTGATCCGACGTAATCGCCGTAACCGACGAAAAGGGCGTAATCGACGACAACCTTTCGAAGACTGAATACATATCGATCCGACGTGACCGTCGTAACCGGCGTCAGTCGGTACGTATCTAATCCCCTGTCACCGGTTACGTGAACGTCTGATCGATACATATCTAGTCTTTAGTCGCCCATTACGTCGATTACGTCGGTTACGTCGATAATGGCGATTACGTCGGATCGATAGGTATACTTTCCTGTGAGGGTTGTCGCCAAAAACGTCGGTTACGTCCTTAGGCCGCGTTCATAGCTTGCGACCATGAAGAAAGTGAAGAAGTGCCGAAAGTGAAGAAGTGCCGAAAGTGCGGAAAGTGAAGAAAAGCAATAGATACGTATCGATTTGAAGAAAGTGAAGAAATGCCGAAAGTGCGGAAAGTGCGGAATCTGCAGAAATGCCGAATGTGAAGAAAAGCAATAGATACGTATCGATTTGAAGAAAGTGCGGAAAGTGCGGAAAATGCGGAAAGTGCGGAAAGTGCGGAATCTGCAGAAATGCCGAAGTGAAGAAAAGCAATAGATACGTATCGATTTGAAGAAAGTGCGGAAGTGCAGAAAGTGCGGAAAGTGCGGAATCTGCAGAAATGCCGAATGTGAAGAAAAGCAATAGATATGTATCGATTTGAAGAAATTGCGGAAAAAGTGCGGAATCTGCAGAAAGTGCGGAAAGTGCGGAATCTGCAGAAAGTGAAGAAAAGCAATAGATACGTATCGATTCTTTCTTTCTGCAGATTCCGCACTTTCCGCACTTTCCGCACTTTCCGCAATTTCTTCAAATCGATACATATCTATTGCTTTTCTTCACATTCGGCATTTCTGCAGATTCCGCACTTTCCGCACTTTCGGCACTTCTTCACTTTCTTCATGGTCGCAAGCTATGAACGCGGCCTTACGTCCATTATTAATCCGTTATTAATCTATACGTATCTCATCTACGCAACACAGTCGCCCATTACGTCGGTTACGTCGACGTCGGCAACGTCGTCGCAAGCTATGGACGCACTCAAGGCAGCGTTCAGACTTCGCGACGGCAGCGCTTCGGTCGCGCGTTCGACGCGATCGATGCGCATGCTTTCGACTGCATTGATCGCGTCGAACGCGCGACCGAAGCGCTGCCGTCGCGAAGTCTGAACGCTGCCTAAGAGTTACGCGTTCTCCGAAAACGTTAGTGGGCGGGGTTAGTCGAGTCTTGTCTAGCCGCTGTTCGCGTGTTTTCCAAACTCGAAAAACTCTCAGATGGCTTCTTTACATTCCTTTGCATGTTTCTTCCATTTGACGCACTCTTCGCTTTTGCAAAGTATGTACTCGGTCTTGGCAAAGCTATTATTCCAGCAGTCGTCTCCTTCATGGTTCTATGTAACGATCTTTTCTTTCCAGAACGTCACAAGCAACATCATTCATGATTCAGTCCGTGTAGATGGGCGTGGTCACGGAACCATTCACGACGTTCAGCTCAGTGAGAAAGCAGCCATTCATGAAGAAACCGATTCACCAAGGGTACAGCAGTATTCATCACAATGTTTTTACAAAGGTTCATCAAAAGACAAGTTTTCAGGTCGCTGAAATACGCGCCAAGTACGAGAACAAGTTGCAAGAAGTCAACGAGTTGAAGGACCGCGTGAGTATTGTACAGAGAAGAGTCGAAGTGCTGGACAAGCTAGTCGAAGGAGTGAGTTCCATACTAAATACTGAGCTGTCTTTCAGGCGGTAGACCAGTATAGGTCCTCAGGTTAGTCGTTAGGAAAATCCCTTGTCGCATGACAAGTCATTGACGTGGGCGGGGAAGAAGTTCCCGGGCTGGGTCACTTCTCTCGGAATGCGAAAGCCCTCTTGCATGCAGGGCATAGTTCACCCGCAGCAAAGCTTCGCCCCCGTCAGCTCGGATTGAAACTCCATCTCAGCCCTAAAACCCATCCAACTTTCGAAAAAACCCTTCCATCACGCTATG